CTCGTAAATAGCAACACAATTTAGTGATTAAAGTTTTCTTGAATATTTTTTGACGCTTCTCAATATGAAATGAAAAAATTCTAATTTTAATATTGTATACTGAAAATGTTTTCAAGCAATAAACAATTGATTTGTTTGCGAATTTAAAACAGTTAAAATTGCCGCCTTTTTAATTTGTATTTTAAAATTACTTGAATTATTTATTGATAATTATTTATTGGTGATATTATTATAGTGAAGATGACAATTGCATGAAAGTAAATAAATTTGATTTGGCGCTTTTTTCCAAGTTTGAAAGTTAATCCGACATCAGGTGCTACGAAAGCCAAACTATGGTTAATAATATGAAAATTATACGAAATGAAAGCAGTTATTCTGTATGCAGAAATTTAAGTTTTAAACTAATCAATTTGCGGTGTACTTTCTGAAGGCTAAAATTACAGTAATCAGAAATAAATAATATATCAGGAATATGTTTTTATTGTTTTAAATTTAATTTGACTGAGTTTAAAGCTCAGAAAAACTACCAGAAAGCATTTGTAAAATGTTTACAAGTAGACTTTTTCGTCGATTCTTTAATTCACTGCAATTTTAAACAAGTAAATTTGATAATATCAATATTTATAATATTCTAAAACAAGCAAGAACTTTCTATTCATTCATAATCGGAATGTTTCGAGAAATCTGAAGATTTTGCTAAGCTTTTGTTGAATCAGTTTGATCTTTTGTAGTTCAAAAAAGCGGGAATAATATTTTGAAATTGAAAGTAATATCAATCATTGTTGTAGAACGAAGGATTAAGATGGGTTTTATTTCTTTGACTGCTGATCATCCATATTTCTATTTATGCTGTGATTGGCTTGAGGTATGTTAATTTTTATCCTCATATGGAGTATAGCTTTAGCAGTAATATTAGCTAAGAATTACCAAAGTAGTGATTGTTTTTAATAAAAATAGTTAATAAAAAAGTGTTCATCATAGTATTGTATTGAAATGTTTAATTCTTTAATTAAAAAAATTTAAGGCATACTGTAGCAATAATTATGTATTATGATGTAGGATAATAAAATGCCACTATTGGTTTGGATGATTATATATGTTAAAAACTAAAATGATAGATTAGCTAAGAAGCCAATTTTACTACTACTTTTTATTACTGTATCAAAATTGTGTTGTTAGGAATAAGTAGCAAACTTTGTTTATATTTTAGGATTTGAATAATCCGGAATTTGAAGCATTTTTAAAAAATGAAGAAAATTATTTTACAAAAACACTTATCAATGAGCCTGTACTTTACTTCGGTAACACTTTAATTCTGGACTACACAATGATGGTAAAAGAATTACGATGCATTGATTTGAATTATCTAATAGAGCAAAGATTCAGACAAACCAAAATTCGAGATGAATTAGAAAAAATTACACCAAAATCTAAATATCGACAAGAATGCGTACATTGTGAGCATCACGAAGAGGAAAAAAAAGATGAACGTGGTAATGAATATGACGATGAAGATTCTGATGAATATGAAAGTTTAAAAAAATTGATGCTACAAATGCAATTAACCAAAGAAGACTTCAATACTGAAGGAGAAGTTTCTCGAATTGATGCTGAAGTGAAAAAACCAGAAAATATTATCAAGCAAAAAGCTACAGAAGGTCAAGAGGGCAGAAAAAAACATATGAAAAAACCAGCAAAAAAAAGCGAATTGGATGTTATAAATAGATTGTGGTTCAAACGTGAACAAAGTCCTCCACCAAGAAATGAAATGGAAACTTATCTTAATGAGATACGAACTACAGTTCGTAAAGAACTTCACACTTTGCTATTTCTTTCTACAGTTGAAGTAATTACTTTATCAATTAGTCATTAATTAATCACTTAATTATTGGTTTATTAGCTATATTATTATTAAATGAATTATTAAAATCTCCAAAACTAATCATATTCATTAAGCAAATCTATTTACTAATCTATTGACATTTATATTTTTTAATTATGCTGAATTATATTAGTGATGTTTTATTACCAAAATAATGCAATCACTAAGACTATCACATAGTACTATTTTAACAAACAAAACTTTTATTTTTTAAGGATTTTGCTGTAAAAGTGATTAGATTCGAACTTACACTTAAAGAATGAATTTTTAGGAAAAAATGAAAGCAAAAAAAGTGAAAACAATTGTGTCGACGTTTAAGTCTAAGCATAAAAAAAAGTGGCTAAAATTTTTGGATTTTATGCATACTAAACTTAAAATAATGTTAGACGAGCCAACAGAATACAATAATAATAAAGTGAGCATTTTTAATTTTAATTAGCAAGATTAATAAAATGAGTGAAGTACTTGTAATTGCTTAATCTAATTAAATAATAAGCAATTTTTTTGTATAAATAAAATATTAAAACTGAAATAAGACTTGCTATGCTTTGCAGATACAGCGACTTCTAAAAGCTAATCCTGAGCTTGTCACAGCAATTAAAATTCTGAAAGCTCAAGAACCCTTGCAAGAAAAAACATTAGTGGAAAAAACACGTGAATTGGCTGTAAGATTAGAACGGCAAATGTTTAGCTTTATCCCGGGAGTAACTGGATTGACCTCTTATCGAAATTTTTTAATTTTAGATTTATCAAGACAGTTATAACTTTATTGTGGAGAATGAAAATGATTAATCAATATTACAAATTACTATATATACTTTTACCATTTTCATTGATTATTAATAATACTTTTTATACTTACTTTTTAAGTATACTTACTTTTGTATTGCTGTATTCAGTAGCAGTAATAATCCTATGACCACCATTTACTATTATGCAAATCAATTTTGATTATCATGAATAAGTATTCATTTTTTTTAAATATTATTTTCATCGTTTTGTATCACTTTTATTATAAATGACTTTTATACCAAATATTGAGATTCTTTTTGATTTTTTGCGCAATTTTTCAAAAATTCGTACATCCTTTTGACTGTGAATCTCTATCTTGGCATATAATTATATATTTTTGACCTCATAATTCTACTTCTTTAGACATTGATCTACGGACAAGGATATTATGATCATAAAAGTTTTATCTATTTTTTGTCTAGAATGTCCATTTTTAGTTTGCATATTGTTGACATACAACAGAATGATTAGAAGAATTATTGTATTTTGATAATAAGTCTGTTTTTGAGAGGGAATAAAGTTTGACTTTATATCTGTTTAATTTTCTTTTCAAATGTAAGATTTGTGTGTCTTCTTAATTTATTATATTTGAATATAAGTATTACAGTTAGGAGTTGTACGTATGTTTAAAATTTTTTCTATTAATAATTTTTTAGTTGAAATTATTTAAAAATTTAAATATTGAGTCATGAGATAATAAGAATATTAAAGAAAATGAGTGGTAGAAGATATCAAGGAAACAAAGGAAAAGAATCGCGCTTGTCATCATTTTCTAGTCATCTCAAGTCCAAAATCACATCTTGGAACATTTTTTCACCAGGATTGTTTCACAAAGGTAATAAAAATGTGTATTTTTAACTCAGTCAAATTCAAATTAAGTATTTCAAATGTAGATATATCAAAATTATGCACATTAAATTTAAGCGCATCAGGTTTGAGCAACTCGGGATCAAGCATATTAGAAACCGAACTAGATGCAAGCACAACAATTCGCAGTACACCAAGTTCAAGTATAGAAAATACGAGTTCTGGCAGAGCAGACTCAAGCACAGCAGGCCCGAGTAAAGCAGATTCACGCACAGCAGGTTCGAGTAAAGCAGATTCACGCACAGCAGGCCCGAGTAAAGCATATTCACGCACAGCAGGTTCTAGTAAAGCAGATTCACACGCAGCAGGTTCGAGTAAACCAGAATCACTCGCAGCAGGTTCGAGTAAGACAGAATCACTCGCAGCAGGTTCGAGTAAGACAGAATCACTCTCAGCAGGTTCGAGTAAGACAGAATCACTCGCAGCAGGTTCGAGTAAAGCAGATTCACATGCAGCAGGTTCGAGTAAAGCAGATTCACATGCAGCAGGTTCGAGTAAAGCAGATTCACACGCAGCAGGTTCGAGTAAAGCAGATTCACACGCAGCAGGTTCGAGTAAAGCAGATTCACACGCAGCAGGTCCGAGTAAAGCAGATTCACGCACAGGAAGTCCGAGTACATCAGATTCATGCACAGCCGATCTGAGTGAAGCAGATTCATACACATTAGGTCCGAGTACAGCTGGATCAAGCACAACGGGTTCGAAGAAATCAGATTCAATAAAAAGAAAAACAGATTCAGTTAAAGCAGATTCAAACACAATGGTTTCAAGTGAAATAAGTCAAAATATGGCAAGTTTAAGCATAACTGATCAAAGTAGAGGAGATTCAACCGTACCTGACGACGAACAAGTTGATAGAGTAATATCAGATGCAAGACTTTGGGAGCGATTTTTCCATAATGTTGCACGAATAGCCGTATCTAATCCTGAATCACACATTTTTGAACGTACGTCAGATGAAAAAGTTGACAAGTGCTTGACAGAAATTCTGAAAAGAGTTCCAGGTTAGTAATTTTATGCAATGAGTGTAATCTAGTATAGAAGGTGATTGTTGTCAATAACGTAGTAGCTGACATATTTAATAAAACAAGAATTCAGCGTAGAAAGGATTTCACACTTAGTTTTTAAATTGAAGTATGAGTAAAGTTTTGAAAATCAGGTTTTTTGATTGAATATATATGAGAATTTCTGTAACATCTGTGGCAGTAATAATTCCTTTCATGGATATATTTTAGAAACATCGGAATCTATACCAGGTTTTGACCGAATACCCTGCTTTAACCCCAAAACTGATGTTCCAGCTGGTGAGGAAGTTGAATACAAAGTAGAAATACTGAAAGCGACAAGGGGAGATGATGAATTGATATCGAATATTATCATTCACGTAAGTACACGTATACTGTCTTTACATGATATGATAACAGAAAATAGCAACGTGATAGTAAGCAGATGCTGAAGTGTGTTTTCTCGTGTATTTTTTTAATACGATTTGTTGTAATTTTAAATACGCAAGCAACCTTCACGTGATTCATTCCTTGCTCTTTTACTTGTGGTAAATCTCAGTTTTTTCGTGATTCATTTAATCTCCTCTAATACTAAAATATTTGCTTCCAATACTGCAAGAACTGGAATTCACAACATGAAAACATAATATTTTAGGTGCAAGCGTTAACTCTTCTGTGCAAATGTAATCGAATAAATATGGGATATCCTCAACTACGAAAATTCTGCAAAGCAATGGAGATTGCGAGAGATCTTTTTAAGGCGCAAATGGCAGCTAGCACGGTGCATTATTAGACTTCATCAATTTTTAACTTTTTTTTTGTCGTAATTGCTTGGAATCTGCTAATTTGGTAGCAATTAATAGCGAAATTCTCGAAAAAATATCAAAAACTCAGTAAGCAAGCTAAGAATGTCTTTTACTGATAAGAAGTAAAGGTGTGAAATAAATTTTGAACTTAAATTTTCAACCTAAAATAATAATTTTTAGTATATATTATTGTTGGTTGAAAATTATTCAAAAATATTGTGTCATATTATCATGTAAGCATACTAAGCAAGTAATTTTAAACTAGAATATATGCCATGTGATTACTCAATTTCAAATAACCTAAATAGATAGGTAAAAAAGTTACAATAAAATAAAAATGCCTTTTGAATCTATTGAATTTGACCATTTGACCAAGTTGATTAAATTTTACCACTATTTTTAGTAACTTTATTGCACGTTAATTACTTTACTGCTTTGTTTTCAAAAAAATTACATACAAATCTAGCATATAAAACTGTGGAAAAACATTTCTTGTACTTAAAATTTTGTGAATAATTTTAAGTTAAACATGATTTCA